TTTTTTTTTTTTTTTTTCCCTCTACAGGGGGCCGGGGTCCCGGGTGCCGACCCCCGGAACCCCGGAACCCCGGCGGGGTCCCGGGGCCGGGGTTCGACAACCCTGGCTGTGAAGGCACGGGTCAGGGAATCGATCTGGTCATTTCAGCGGATGACCGTAATGGAGGAAATGGACCACGACATAATCCTTAGGAGACCGTGGTGCGCAAACGTAGAGATGATAGACATGCACTTGCACGATGGCTCGTACATGGTAGACATAGAGGACCCTGTGACCGGCCGGGGAGAGCTCCTCCGACTCTTTGGAACGGGAGGAGACCCCCCGAAGGGAAAATTGGCAACATGGTCGCTGTCGTTCAAGGATAACACGCAAAAAAGGGCTTTCGCACGAATGGAGGGTATGAGAGAAAAGGTGGAAATCATGATTGAGGAAGCGTTCAACAAGAAGGAGTGGATCAAGATAGGCCTGCCTCAGAAGAAAAAGAGGCAGGAAGACGAAGTCCTAGGTGTTATGGTAGCGGAAAAGGAGTCAGAGGTCGAACTTGGTGCTAGCCTGCCCAAGCAGAAAGAAGTGTGCATAGACGTGCCGGAAATCGCACTCGAGATCCCCGATCTATTGCAACTCATCAAGGCCCTCAGATACCACAAGGTAGGAGTGGATTCGGCAGACTTGGCCAAGTTCGAAAGAGAGGTGCGAAAGGGATATTGCCTGAATGAGAAACTAGTTAGTATTCAACCACGAGTCGTAGAGGCGACGGGGGCAATTCCGACKGTTCATTTTTTAGGAGAAAGATCCTGGAAGGAAGTGTTCGAAAGTACAAGCCGGTAGGGAAGAAAGCAAAACCGGTCTCGATCCTACTAGATACATCAAAGGAAGAGACTATGGAGAAGGAGGAAGAGGTCCTTCGAGTGATCCGAGAAAGAAGGCCGACAGAGGGACATCGGATACCAGATGAGGTAGCTGACACAATGAAGAAATAGATAGACGGGTTCTTAACGAAAGAAGAAACCCGCCTGATCAAAAGGACCTGCCAGAAGTTTCACCTGGCATTTGCCTTTAGTAATCACCAGAAGGGACGACTGGATGCGAAGTTGATCCTCGACAAAGTTGTTCGGGAGGGAGCCAGTTCTTAGTGCTGAGTTATAAATTTGACATAAAAATGGGCCGAATCCCTCCCAAGTGCATAGGAATAGTTCAACGGGAAGTCCATCAATGCCCGGGCATTTACCCTTTGCCATCCGTTTTACTACTTTCAACAGTTCCACTTCTGTGAACGGGGCGTCCAGCCGGGTCCTGGAGGTGGGACTAATGCAGGCATTGGTCCTGTCCCAACACGTAGTTGCGGTTGACAGGTCTGTGTCGAACTGGTCAAAGACTCTTCTTGTTGATACTATGTCCCGGAAGTAGGCGAACGCACACTCACACATCCTATGTGGGGACTGCTCTTTCCTCCACTGGAAGTTCTTCTCGGCTTGCAGTCCGCTTTGCTTGCTACTCCGCTCCAAGCCCTGTTGCGACCCTTCGCCATACCGGTCTTAGGCGTGCGGGCGACCTCACCCTTCCCCGATAGCCAGCGACACCCTCTACACCCCCATTCTCCCACGACGAAACGACAAAACGCAACCAGTATAAGGGAAGCCTCTGCTACGAACATTCTGCATGTGGTGGTCCTGCCGCCACACTGAGGGCGTATCTCGCCGCATTTACCGTTACACGGTTAAGAACAGCTATCCCATGCCCCGCGTGGATGAGCTGTTTGACCATCTGGCAGGCAACCGCTTCTTCACGAAGATCGATCTTCGTAGCGGTTACCACCAGATCCTCGTTGCCGCAGAGGACCAGCCGAAGACCACCTTTCGGTCGCGCTTCGGCCACTACGAGTTCACGGTGATGCCATTCGGCCTCACCAATGCACCCGCCACCTTCCAGACGGCGATGAACGACATCTTCAAGGACATCCTTGAAGAATACGTTGTCGTATACCTGGACGACATCCTGGTCTACAGTCGTACCTTAGAGGACCATATCAGACACCTCCGCGATGTCTTACAGCGCTTACGCAAGCATGGCTTCTATGCCAAGCTCAGTAAGTGCCGCTTTGCCCACCGCAAAGTGGACTTCCTAGGACACCATGTGCCTGACCAGGGTCTCCACATGGACGACGCGAAGATCACTGCTATTGCAGAGTGGCCCGTCCCCACATCTGCCAAGCAGCTTCGCAGCTTTCTAGGCCTCACCAGCTACTACAGTAATTTTATCCAGGGATACGCTAGGTTTTCCTACGTCCTTACCTCCACCCTCCTCCGGAAGAACCCGCCGTGGTTTTGGACACCCCTCTGCGAGGACGCCTTCCTCGCCCTCAAGAAGGTGGTGACTTGTGCGCCGGTTCTTCGCCTTCCCGATTTTGATCGACCCTTTATCGTCACCACCGATGCGTCAGATTTTGCAGTAGGAGCTGTCCTTTCTCAGGTGTTTTCCTCTCCTCCAGATTCACCTTACCCCCATGTTCCTCCTTCCCCCCCCCCTCCTGCTGACACTGCTTCTCGACTGACGCCTATCCTACCACCACTT